GGAGCCTCCCATGTCTCCCTAATGCGTTTGTTAGAGCGTTTGCGGGCTTGGCATCCAATAAACATTCCTACGATGATCTTCTATTGGAAGGTCATCTTACTAAGAGGTCACTCTTGATCCCCCCCCTTGCCTTGTCAGTTAGGGGTCTGGATTAAGAGATAAGGAGTTGGTTTTTGGTGCTTCTGTGGGCTCTGCTCTGACGCTCACTAGTTTGCACTGTACAAAGAGCTATGCGTGCATAGGAGTTTTCTCTTTGACATTGTGGTGAGATGCTCTTTGTTGGTCTTGTAGTTGTGCTTGGTTTTGTCTGGATTTGGGGGAGATGGGGTACGGTGCTTTTGCTGGTTCTATTTTCTGACCCTCACGACACATTCTTGGCATTGTACAAAGAACTATGCGAGCATAGAAGTTCTTCTTTAACAGTTTTACATTGTGGTGGATGTTATTTGCTGAGCTTGTAGTTGTGCTTTATGTTATTTCGTTTTATCTTAGTTTTTTGACTCTCTTGTAGTCCAATGCACGTGTGGCACTCTTTTTCCCACCCAAGGGTATCTTTGGGAAGGTTTTAATGTGGTTGCGTTCCTACGTGCAGGTTCTCTTGTATTCTTCCTAAATTATTAATGGAATTTCTCTTCTCAAAAACTACCATAATAAGCACGTCCACTGCTCCTTCCATGATTGTTTTTCAAAAGTTCGGTCATTGCAACATTAAGGCATTTTTTACAAGAATGGCTAGAAAGATCACTAGTGCATTGATCCACACCATAAATTAAACCCTAGTGCAATATCCCAGTTTCTAACTCCCCGTGAGCAACCTTAAAATCACTATCATAAGCATGAATACATAATTTGGTTAACAATGGACCAACTTTCCGATCAAACATTAAGGGAGTATCAACGAATTTGTAATTTGTCAAATATAGTCCGTTAGTTGCGTCACTCAAACCTAAGAAATATTGATTTGAGTATTTTATGAGGCAATTATCATACTAAATTATAGCTCCTTGGTGGTAATTAAGGGCATCCTCTGCGAAGCTCTTGGCTTCCTTCAAAGATACACCTTTTGCAACATGTTTGGGAGATTTTACTCCAACATTTCATTGAAAGCAGTTTCAGCTCTTCTATAACTTGCTTTCTTTTTTTTTGGATAATCTTTTCAATACCACATTCAAGTTAACCTCGTAATTTCCCTTGGCCGGAAATTTTAGCTCACTAAAACAACTATGACCTATATAAGTAGCGATCCAAAGGCAGCCGCGTGCATAAAAAATGAAAAGCATAAGAGAGAAATATGAAGGATTAGTAATAGTTTTGATAAAAACATATTCCAATCAAATTGAGCTCTGATATTTCTTTTCAAATGGATAATACAAAAATATTGAATTAATGTACGGCACGTGTATACACGGTATAAGTTAATGCAATCTACAATTTTCTATTTACGCCATTTTTTTTTCTGGAATAGCCACCCACAGAGGTTTCTATGTAATAAGTAATTACTAGTCATATACGTATAAATTGATTTAATATTTTTGTCCTAAAAAACAAATAGAGGACATTTTATTTAATTTTATGTACAGCTAGCGTGATCCCTTTCTTGCATGAAATGACAAAGTGACAACATATAAGACCCGCTATCAATAGTTTTAGTTGTCAATTGTGATCATAATCAAGATGCTGGATGTGGACATGAACCGCTGCAATAAGTCAATTGAGCTCCAACGCCATGATTTAAAGTTCTTATCATCTTCCCAAGACTATGGAGATAAATTTTGCCATGTGTCTGGTGGAAAAGAGCTTTTGTCCTTGTCTACATAGGGTCCTTTATTATTCACAATCTCCCGACAATTGTTTGCCAGTTTTCTCTTCTTACCCATCCGCCTCCCAAAATAATCGAGCTATATACCAAAAATCTGTCTTTGGACCACAAGCTTCGGGCCCCTGCAGCTGCACTTCCATTCCTGCAATTATACCTCTTGGAAGACAATTGGGTTGATGGTACCATAAAAGAGAGAGAAGGTTGAAAGAGATATATATCCCTTCCATTGAGGATCTCTTAAATAATTTTATTTGAGGGACACCTTTTAGGGTATTTTACGATTTTTTTTTCAAAGATCCAAATTGTCTATTTTTCAAGTCTTCATTCATAGATCATTCTTGAAAAAAATAATACAAATTGAAAATCATTAAGGCGTCTAATTGAGACTAACAAAATCAATGAACACAGTGCTTAAGAAAATACTTAAATTTCAATTGATATCGGATTCAAGTGATTTTTTGTAGAGATGATCTTTGAAAGAATATCTACAAAATAGACGGTTTGGATTAGTGAAATATAATGCAGAGTGGGTCCTAGAAGGGTGTCTCAAATAAGTTATTTGAGGGATCTCTCTCTCTCTCTCTCTCTATATATATATATA